AAGCTTCGGGTAGTAAATATTCAAAATATAATTGCATAATTATGATGTTGAGTTTTACCACAGGTGAAACACACACACACACACACACACACAGACACACACACACACAAACACACACACCCCTTAAAAAGGTTCTCTAAGTTATGGTCTTGAATTCTTTAATCAGCAACATAATTCTTTCCGTTTATCAGTAAACAAGTTTTTGAAATCTCTCTTTATCCCATAACAATTAGAAAAAGAAAGACAAAATTAAAAGTGAAAAATGTAATCACTGTACCAATTGTTTTGTCTATGTGGCAGGCTAATCAAGTATATGGCAGTTTTCCTATTTGAAGTATGACCTACAGTTACAAGCTTTTAGGGCTACAGCTCTAGATTGTTCCAGAGATGTCCATTTTATTGGACTTTTACAACTTTAAAATGATGTTTAATATGCGCAAATTCTGCATGCAAGGAATATCTTTAGCTGAGAATAATGGACATGAAATAAAGGTTAGCACATTAAAGTCATTTCTGTTCAACAATAATTAGCACGTTTAAATACAATATAATTTTTATCCATCTATAAAATGCTTAAATGTCTGGAATCTCGTTTATGTCTATAGTGACAGATTCATTTTTGACGCAGTCAATTTCGATCTTGATTTGTATATTTTAAAGTTGCTAAATGCTTGACTGAATCATTAGCAAAACAATTCATGTATCGTTAAACTGATTTCCAACATGAGAGAATTTTCTTCCTTATCTAATAGATGTCTGTTTTAAGATTTACTGAGATCGCTTTTATTCTTTGGGAGGTTTGGGGGAGCTGTGGAGGAGACCTTATCACTAGCTAATTTCACCCAGTTTGGTTTGCCAAATTAATGCTCAAACAACACTGGAGAATGCATATTGTACTAGCAAAGAAAACACACCATAGGCAGTTTCCTTTTTAATGGACCACAGAGGGAAAAGGGGAAAGATAAATGACGGAGGTAGAGAGCAAGAAATCCTGGGAATCTCTAGGGTGTAGGCAAAGCAGGACGCCCCACCCACCCACCTCCTGCACCCCACTGCAGTCCTGGTTTCTCCAGGTTGGCGAAGGTTGTGTTCCCTCCATCTCCCACACCTTCCCATCCATAAACAGTTCCTTTCTGCTCTTCCGGAAATTGCAGCTAATGAGACCTCAGAAGACCTCTGCGCACAGAGCAGGCAGAGACAGCCACTCTGCTGCCATGCATGGGACAAGGCTGATTGGAGCTGAAACAGTTCACTTTTGTCTGGAGAGCAGCACCGCCCCCTAACCCCTGCCTCCGCCCCCACCTCCACCCCCACCTTACCCCCACCCCCACCCCCACCCAGGCCCCAGCCCCGCCCCTGCAAGGTCGAGGAAATATGGGAAAAGTGCCTGCTGCTGGGGCAGGCCCTGGGGGCTGCCTTCACTGGAGGAGAGGCCTGGCCGGCACATGGCCCCTTTGCAGCCTTGACAGCCCCACACAGACCTTTGAACTTTCTATTTATATTACAGTTTAGTGAGTTTAAGTCTCTTCCTGTATAATTGCCCTTTTGCAAGCTTGCCTCTAATTATGCTACTTGTGAGACATCACATAAAAACTACAAACAATTGATGCTGTCCTTTGCAGTGAGAAGCCAGCCACTGTCACAATCACTTAACTACAATTTTCACTAGGCTTTTTAACATTTTGATATTTCTATCAAGGTGGCTTTCTTCTCATTTTTTTTTTTTTTAAGAATTTTTCCCTTTCTTGTCTCTCTCTGTCTCTCCCTCAGAAAAAAACAAGAAAACAAACCAAAACCAAACCAACCAAACAACCAAACATAAAACCACATAAGCATCCCCACAAAGAACCTTGGCCTGTCACGAGGCAATAGCAGGTGGTGGTGGGTGGGTGGTTCTTACAAGACTGAAAGGCTGTACACTTTGAATTTGGCCCTCTGAGTTTCTTTTTTCCTTCTTAACTAGGGATTAATGACATCGCCATTGCTGATAAACAAGTCCAAATCTAGCCACATGATATCCAGTCACCCCAAGAATTCATGCACTTGGATACCATAGGCAAGTCTATGAAATAATTTAAATGAAGAAATTTGATTTTTTCTTTACCTTTTTCATTTTCTTTTTTTTTTTAAGGGGCAAGTGATCTCTTTGGTGCACACAGACATCTGTGCCTCCCTTTTCTTTCGCAGAATGGTTTATATAAAATTCGAACTCAGGTGAACATTGCTCATTCATCCAGGAATCTTAAAGAACTTGAGCTTTGGCCCTTTAATCCAGTCCAGAGCATGACCCATTAAGTTATTCTTGCAGTTAGTGAAATCCAGCGGTATGTTCCATTAGGCATGTGAGCACTCCCAGATACTGCACATACGTGCATGCTGCAGAGTCATTCATACCTCATCCCTTCCATTTGCATTTGTCCTAACAAATGTGTGTGTTTGTAAATGGGCACGCACTTTTTGCTTACTATAGTCAAGTCTTTGCAAATAACACATATGCCTGTGTATGTAAAATCTTTCTTCATTATGTCTAGGAAAATGAGTTTGCTTTTAAGCTGTCCTGATCTGTTTATTGTCAGACATCTAGGCTTGCAATAGAGATAGCCCAGAGCTTACTGTTCCACAAATGAATGTTATGAATAGATTCAAGGTAAATAGGAGCCTCTATTTTGCTGGCCCCTTTTCCCTCCTTGGTCCTTCTGGGGGGCTGGGGGAGAGAGTGAATGTCATTACTTTAAGCAGCTACTTACTCTCCCAAGGAGGGGAAGTAAACATATAATGAACATGTAACTGGCATGCTGTAGACATCCAAAGAGAGTTTGGAGAGGCAGAGATTTCCATTCAAGACAATGTCAAGCTTTTTAGAATAATTCATTCACTATTGTCATATTTATGTTCCTTTTCTCTGTGGGGGTGTACAAAACAGAGAAGCACAACCACATTACCAATGTTTATAAGCACAGAGGCATAAGGGAGATTGCTCCCTCACAATCAAACAGTAAGAAGGATAAATTTTCCTGGATCACATGCACTGAGGGGAAGGGCAAGCTTATTTATGCAGATGTGTTATACTAATTCAATGGTATCTCACATAATATCCATGGAGTGTCCAAGTCCACATGCTTCTTAAGTGATGTGGCATAGTTAGGGATCTGGAGGAAAAAAGGTTGCATTTTCCTTAAGATAAGAAAAGATAGCCTCTCAAAATCTGACAGGTGGCATATCTTTCTGAAAAAAAGAAATCAAACATGAAAGAGCCCATCCCCTTTAGATATGCAACTGTATGTGCATAAGATTAAACTGGAATTGAAATAACACATTAAACATGTTTTTGAAAACCTCATACCTTATATATGCTTAACATTTCAACTACACCCATGAAAATAATTATAACAATGTCTGTTAAATTAATGATGTTACCCACACTGTATATTAGGCAAATTGTATGCAAATAGTAGTGCTGTGTTTATCAGTTGTCTGCAAAATAAATTAGTGAAGCAGAGTAAAGGCTGTGTGCAGGAGCATAATATTTAATTGAGCAGTAATTTTAATGTGATCTTTACTTTTAAAAAACAGTGTGATTATTTTTTAAAATGTAATATTTTCTGCAGAGCTGATAAAACCCTGCATGGTATCAAAAATGTTTTACAGATTAATACTGATGCAGCATGATTTGTGCTTCAAGGATTTACCCGGACTTACTGTAAAATAAAATGCATTTAAGTTCTGATTATCTTGGATTTGCAACTAAAGGAGTCATGATTGGCATAATGAAGCTATTGGCCAAGCATATGACCCTTTTTTAAAGAAGGAAATTGCCTAAAATATCACATCAACAGGGGAAATCCTTGTAAAAATACACAGTATTCATAGCCAACGGCCGCTAGTAGCTCAACGTTACAAAAGACTTCGCTCTATTGGCAGGTACTACAGATTATTCTAACTACATGTAAAAAGGCAATACAAGAGTGCAATTCTAAGTGACTACCACGGTGCCCTCCTCCCATCGAATTACTTAGGCTGTGGGGAAAAACTGATATATTAAAATGTTATAGCAATAAAACAGTGACAAAGTTTGTAGTACACAAAGTTTTTGAAAAGTTAATAGCTATATATATTAGTATTTATGTACGCGTGCACACACATCACAAAGCGAGTAACAAGTTTCTGCCAACCGGGTCACCTCTGCACCATCTTTCAAAATGTCTCAGCGACAAGTTTGGGGTATCTTGTGAAGAGCTGTCTATACCTTTGAATCTGAGCTGGGTGCCTATTACACAAACCTAGGGCGGCCTCCCAGTGGGAGGCCAACAGGGGTCTAACCGGTAATTAAATCTGCATTAACATCGGAGCAGCAGACTTTGGGGGCCAACGTCAAAAACACAGTTTTGAAAGCCAAGCGCCAAAGTGGCCTCCGACTCAGGGTCCTCTGCGCCGTGGCCCCCAAAGACGCAGCTCCCCGCTGGAGTGTGGGGAACTTGGGCTGAGCCGGCAGAAGAGAAGGTGTGCACGCCTCGTCGCGCCGGTATGCGGGATGGAGGTGGCGGCGGCGGGGGCGGAAGCGGGGGGCGGGGTGAGGGGAGCGCCCAGTGGCACCTTGCTGCTTGTCTTTCCCCAAAGGCCGGCCACGGGCGTTGTACACCTGGGAAGTTGAGGCATCTCAGGCAGGCAGCATCCAGGGCGCAAGAAGGCCGGGTAGGCGAGATCATGGGGTTCAGTCCCTGGGAGACACCGGATTCCATGTGGGCCGAACGAAACTCTTTGGACTCAGAGTGCGAAACAGCGCTTTCGGGTCCTTATCCCTCCCTCTCTCCCTGTACCTCTCCCACCCGGGCACCCTACTGAGGAATCACTGGGGCCAGAGACCAAGGTGGCTGAGAGCAAGTGGGAGGGTGTCTGGGGCATTCCCCACGACAGCACCGGCTGCTCTTAACAAAGGCGAAAACCCTGGACCCCGCTAGGGGACCCGCTCATCAAAGGAGAAGGCAAAAATTAACACCTACCACTGCTGCTCTAAGTCCCAGTCCCTGAAAAAGTCGAATAGATCCATAGCGGCCAGGCGGCGGCAGCGTGCGTGCGTGAGTCCCTGCTCGCTGGTCCGCGCGGCTTTCAGCGCGGCTAGCTCACTGATCTCAGCGGCCCGGCTCTCTGGCACTCCCGCCCAGCTAAAAGTGCCCGGGTCGCATCAGTGGCTGCGGCGGTGCCGAGAGAGCTGGAGGTGCCTGGTCCTGCGCTCTGGAGCGGCGGCGGCGGTGGTCGCACGGAGCGAGCGAGCGCCTGGCCGCCCGCTCGGGTCCGCTTGGTCTACGGTTGCCCGCGCGCCCAGCGCCCCGATACTGCAGCGGCCGCCGCTGGGGGCTCGGGCCGGCGAGGCCGCCTAACTGGCGGGCTGCGGGCCAGCGGCGGCGGCGGCGGCAACCAGAGCAGCGGCAGCAGCGAGGCTCAGCTGCCGGGGCTGCAGCGGCAGCGGCGGCGGCGGCGGCGGCGGCGGCGGCGGCGGCGGCGGCGGCTGCACAGGCGGCGGCGGCGACCACGGCAGCATCACACACTTACACACTCACAGGAGGCGGAGCCTGGACAGCTCAAAGCCGCGACATGGAGCAGGCACCTTATCATCTCCGGATCTGGCAGGGGCTCGCCCCGCCCTCCCGCACTGCCAGGGAACCCCTCCTGTCAAAATCAGCTAGTGGGAGCAGCCACAGAGCCCCAGACCCAGCCCCCGGCCGGCCCAGAGACCCGAGGGTAGTTACAGGGAAGCAGAAGGGGTTCTGGCGGGTCTGGGAGGCGGGCTTGGAGAATGGGACCCCTTCTCTGAACCCCTGCCCACCCCCACCACTGGTAGTTAATGTTTGGAAACAGTAAAGAGGACATAAACTGACTCGAGATTGGGGGTCGACCCCTGCTGCCCGGCTTGAAGTCCCTGCCCAGAGACTCTCCTTGGACCCAGAGCAAACTTTTGTGGGCCTGAGCATACCTCAGGTCTGTAGCGCAGAGCACGCGGGGCCAGGAAGGAGAAGGCAGTCACCTTCACCGTCCCCGTGGCGCTGAGTGCCAGTACCCAGACCCGCGGGGCATGTAGCAGTGCGGTACTGAACTGCAGGGCGCAGCGCACACCTAGTAGGTTAGCAAGCTGTTGGCCCCAGATTCGGTGGGCTGCGAGTGTATACACAAATGATTTCCCTTGCGTGGTACGTGGGTTCAGGGCTAAGACACTGGTAAACTGAATTCCTCACACAGCCACCATGTGCCTAGAGCAAAAGACTTCTGCACTTTCTTCCCTTGGGAAATGGGGAAACCGCTAAATGTGTGCCCACTATCCCACTCACCGGCTGCTCCTCTCCCTTCTGGCCTGAAATTCTGTCTCTCTGCACGTGGAGGGCTTAACAGAGCCTCCTCCTCCCTCAGCCTCCACGTGGGATCTAGGAATTGGTCAATCCCTTTAACGGGTTCCCTGAGGGAAAGATTTCCTGGTCTCCACTCAGAGAAAGGGGTGTCCAAAGGGGCAAGACCTATTTCTGGCATTTCAGGAGCAAGAACACTCTTCAGTCCCAGGCGTCTCATTTACCTTCTTTGTGTAGTTATACAGAGGTAATAATATTGGTGCATTATCAAAATCCTAAGGCTAGAACTTTCTTAAGAAGAGCAGTAGACTGAGCATTGACACAACAGGGTGCCAGTGGCTCTCTATGTGACTCTGAGCAAGTCACTGCTCCCAGCCTCAGTTTCCCCATCTCTAAAATGAGAGACTTGACCCAGCAGCCATCTGGCTCATGCTGTTCTGGCGTTTTCACTTCTATTTGAATATGCTTCTCTAATATTATCTCCCATTCTCAAAAATCATCCAAACAGCTTTTCTTTCTTTCTTTTTTTCTTCTTTTTTTTTTTTTTGACAGAGTCTCACTGAGTTTCCCTGGCTAGAGTGAGTGCCATGGCATCAGCCTAGCTCACAGCAACCTCAAACTCCTGGGCTCAAGCAATCCTGCTGCCTCAGCCTCCCGAGTAGCTGGGACTACAGGAGTGCGCCACCATGCATGGCTAATTTTTTCTATATATTTTTAGTTGTCTAGCTGATTTCTTTAGTAGAGATGGTGTCTCGCTCTTACTCAGGCTGGTCTCGAACTCCTGAGTTTAAAGGATACATCCACCTGGGCCTCCCAGAGTGCTAGGATTACAGGTGTGAGCTACCCGGCCTGGCCTAAAACAGCTTTTCTTTACTTCTTTTTTCCCCAGAAGAAAAGAGGCCCCCCAGACTGAGGAAAATGCTCAAGATCTGACACTTCCTCTAGAGAGAAATCCAGATTGGAACTTAGAACCTGGGAAGTTCATCCAGGGATGGAGCCAGTAGAAGGTGCTACAGCTCCAGACATGAATGACTTCAGGATGTGAGCTAGAAGGTGCCCAGTGTTTGGTCTCTTTCACATTCTTTGTATGGCAAAAAGCTTATCATCAACATACAGAAACAAGGCTCTAAGATCCTGCAATTGAAGATATAGTGAGGCTTTGCTCAGATGGCTATTTATTTTGTGTGGTACCAAGTCTTCAACAGATACTAGTTGATTTATGGAAAATCAACCAGCAGGCAGCCAAGGGAAGACTACACCTCAAACTGGCTTGTCGATTTGGCTACCTGTAAACTCCTCTGGTCAAAGACTCCATAGTGAATGAGCTATTGGCAAAAATGCTGTGTGTGAGGGGGAGGGTGTCAAATTATATCTGCATGTTGTTTATTCATGGAGTTCCAGTTTTCAGTCCTAGACTGTGGGCCCTTAAGGTGACAGGGACTGCCTTGCTAAGATCAGTGGCCCCCAACCTTTATGTCCTCACTAAATGATCCTCAAATTGTATTTGACTGCTAATAATGGTTGTTGCCAGGAATGGTTCTTGATCTCCTTGAAAATCCTTAGAGGAAAACCAGAACATCTACAATTAACATTTAAATGATGATTATGGTCACTTTATGTCTGGTTTACTTTTCTCATGAGATTATATTGATTAGAGAAAGATAGAAAAATCATATGCTAGGTAAATAAATTTTCAACAGAAAAAAAGCTACTCCTTTAAGAGTTCCAGACCCCCATCACCCCACTGGTGCACTTTCTTCCCAATCAGCAGGAGGACAGAGCAGAAGCAGAAGGAGCCAGCAAGAAGCAGCACTCTGAACAGAAGTGCCTGGGAGAACAAGAGAAGAGACAAGTGGTGCTGGCTGCTGCCTCGAAAGAGGGGCAGGGGCTTTCCCTTCCTGAGATCAAAATCAAGCAGGAAGGCTGGACTGGGTGGAAGGAGCTCCCATAGCCTAGCCAGCTTCCTGGAACAGAGAGGAGGCTAAGAGAAGCAACATCGAAGGAGCCAGGTCATCACAGAGGCCAGTCAGCTCAAGCCTGGCACATGCTCACTATCTGAGCATCAGCTATTGGGCAGGGCAGAACCTTTGTCTTCTCAAATCCAAGGTGTGCTTTCTCTCTTCCTCCTCCTCCTGTACATCCCCAGCTCTGACGGGGCCAGGAGCTTTAGAACTCAGCTATTTAGTCAACTCTCAGATATGTGGGCAGGCATGCTACATTTGAGCCATGCTTCCTCCACCAAAAGCTGGCAGGAGGGAAGGGAAAGCAGGTTGCAGGAAGCAGGTAGCATGAGGAAATAAAAAGTATATCTGCAGGCAAAGCCCACTGCTACTATCATATTGGCAGCTCAGCCATCTAGCCTGGGGCAGGGGAGGTCAAGTTAGTTTCCTTCCATTCTACTTCATGGGGCATCTTAGCTAAGGTGGAAGACTCTTCTGGGCCAGCCTGTAGCCCTGGCTTTGGCTGGACAAGCCTCTTTCTGACCTAGCAGGGCCTGCCTCAGGCCCCAGCCTCACAACTCTCACTTCAGCCCAATATTTCAGAAGCTACTCTCCCTCTGCCCCTCCTCTCTCTCTGTTGGCTTCTTCCATTCTGACTGCCACACCCCCTGCACCTTACCAATCTCACTCATTCATAAAACTCCAATCAAAAGGAACCTACAGGATCATTGGCCAAAATAAAGCAATCTTTTCAGAAAAATAAAAAGATCAAAACTAAGACTCCATGACCCAATCCGTGGAGGTGAAACCAGAAATCATTTTTAAGAGGCTTGGTTTTATAGAAATGCTGATTCTCAGATTCTCTAAAGTAAGATTTTTGACTTGAATTACTTTTAAAGGAATTTAATTTGTAGTCTCTAGGTACTAATCTTCATTTCAAAGAACTTGAAATCCTCCATTCATGCAGTTGTACTAAAGGCACTGTCATGCAGGTTCTGGTAGATAGTGTCTAAAAATTAAGATTAATTTAAGAAAATGTCACCATGCATGTCAGTTCCAGGAAATGAACAAATTGACAGCCTGCGATCCATGTGTCATCCTTTCACACCTTAAGATTTCCACTTAAAATATTAAGCATTTGTTTCTGACTTGGTATGCTGTCAGGCTGACTTACTTTCTAGGAGGAAATTGTGATCAAGGCTACAGCTCATCTGAGGAAGCCTGTTAGAAATAATTCCATGGGCTTCATCAGGACCACCAACTTCCATTACTGTGGCTCCTCCTGTGGCAGAGCAACCCGGTAGTGCTGTGAGTTTGGAAAGGACCAACAAGACTCTCTGAGCTCGGGGAAATTTTCACAAATAGATCACAATATCCGAAATGATCTTTATCAAAGGAGCAACTTCATCTTTTCTAAGCTGAGAATACCTGTACTTTGTTGCATACCAGTCCCCAGAAACTGTAAGCCTCATGGAGGCAGGGCCTGAGTCTGTGTCATCAAAGGCTAGCACAGTGTCTAACACATAGTGGGCCCCTCCAGAGTCTATCCAACCAGTACCTGTGCAGGTGGCAGTTACAGGAGTTTATTTCAGTACAATTCTCTGAACTTAGGATACTTCTCATGAATATACATATGTAATTTTTTCACAATTCCTGGTACTACCACTTTATACTTGGGATCTAAATCATGTATTATGATTGAAAGACCTTACCCTTGGCTTTTCTAGTTACAATAGACAATGATTCCGTTTCAGAGATCTTCTGAAAGTCCCTGGATCTGGGTTCCCCCTGGGTCCTAAATATCAAACATCATCTAACCTTATGCCAATCGTCTGCTTAATTAGGTTTAATGTACTTGAAAAGTGTTGCTCTTCTGATTTTATATGGTATGTTGCTGTAATTCTTTGCATATATTTAGCATAACTATAAAACAGATAACATAGATTGAGCCTTCATTATATAACAGGCTCAGTGCTAAACATTGTACATACATTATTTAATTTATTCCTCACCATGATTCTCTGAGGTAGGTACTAGTA